TTCAAACACAGTAAAAAGAATAGGCAGGGGGCGATTTTTCGACGGTATCTTGATCGTCGGGAGGACTTTTTTGGACTCTGTCTGTGGATTGCTCCTCCGAACTCCGCCCGTAGGGGGGGGCACACGCCCGACCTAAGAAGCAGGCTCGACCTGCAGCCGAGGACGGCGTCGGCCCACGAGCACGGCTCGCTCACATAGTCTCCTCCTCCTCCTCCTCCTCCTCCTCCTCCTCTTCACATGAGGAAGAGGAGGGGGGAGGAGGTGGAGGAGGAGGAGGCAAGGAGGATGAGGAGGACGAGGAGGAGGGGGAGGAGGAGCAGGAGGAGGAGGAGGGGGGGGAAGGACTAGTCTCCCCCCGCCAGCGCCCGAAGCACCGTCTCTCTGGGCCCTCTCTGCGGCGCTCCGGGGGGGCATCCTCGGCGCTCCCCGGCGGGGCGGCGCCCCGCGGCACCTCGCGCCGGCGAGGACGAGGGCGAGGACGAGGGCGCCCGCCGAGGACGACGGCGACGGCGGCGGCGACGGCGACCCGACTCGGCTCGGAGTCCGCCCCCGGGCTCCCTCGCAGGGTGCGTCTTGGGCAGCTCTCCGCCCCGGGATGCATCTCCTTCCGGCCTCGGGACCCGAGGCGGGCCCGGGGAGGCCGAGAACGGGGAAGGACCTCGATCGATGGATCGATCGATGTGCGATCGCTCCTCGATGGATCGTTGCCATCGTCGCCCTCGCCACCGTCGTTATCGTCCTCGTCGCCGTCGTCCTCGCCCTCCGCCTCCTCCTCGTTTCTCCTCCCGACGGCGCCGAAGCACGAAGGCCGCAGCGAGGCACCGAGTTGAAACGAGGAGGAGGAGGAGGAGGAGGAGGAGGAGGAGGAGGAGGAGGAGGAGGAGGAGGAGGAGGAGGAGGAGGAGAAGGTGAAAGAAAGATGGGTACTGCGAGAGCTGGTTAGGTGCCGCGCACACCTGGCGCCATTTCCACTACCAGGTGCCATGAGAGTTTATGAGATCCGCTCACAACCGGGCGAAAGGTACCGCCCCCCTGTCTGCTCGTCCTCGTCCTGCTCGTCCTCGTCCTCCTCCTCCTCGTCCTCGCCGCCGATGTCGCCTCGTTTCCTCGTCCTCGTACTCCTGTCTCCTCATTCTCCTCGTCATTTCCCCCCCCTGTCTCGTCCTCTTTTTGAATTCGGTGCCTCGCTGGGGCCTTTGTGCTTCGGTGCCGTCGGGAAGAAGAAGAAGGAGGAGGAGGAGGAGGAGGCGGAGGACGAGTAGGACGAGGGCGACGAGGGCGATGACGACGGCGGCGAGGGCGACGATGGCGACGCCCCATCGACGATGCGTCGAGGAGCGACCGAGGATCGATCGATCCATCGAGGTCCCTCCCCGTTCTCGGCCGCCGCCCTCGCAGGAGGCGCGCGCCGCCGTCACTGCCCGCAGGAGTCGGGCGGCCGCCGCCGTCGGGAGCGGTCGGTGGGCCCCCTCTCGGCGGGGCGCGGCGCGGCGGCCGCGCGGCCGGCGCGGCCGGCGCGGCCGGCGGGCCCAGCCCGCGGCTCCGATGGGCGCGCCGGCCGCCTTCGCGCTCGCGTCGCCCGGGTGTGCGCGCGCGGGCGCTCCGCGCCGCCGCCGTCGCCGTCACCGCCGTCGCCGCCGCCGCCGTCGCCGTCGCCGCCGCCGCCGCCGCTGTCGCCGTTGTCGTCGTCGTCGTCGTCGTCGTCGTCGTCGTCGTCGTCGTCTTCGTCGTCGTCGTCGTCGTCGTCGTCGTCGTCGTCGTCGTCTTCGTCGTCGTCCTCCTCCTCCTCCTCCTCGCCGCCGCCGCCGCTCCGTGCCTCCACTACGCACCCCTGTCCTTTGAGTCGCTGGGCTCGCACACCGAGCTCGAAGAACAAAAAACACAGGCGAGTTGAAGCGTTGTTGTGAGAGCTTCTCGGAGGTCTCTTGGAGTCATCTTGGGGCTCTCTTGAGGTCCTCTTGGGGCCCTCTAGGGGGCCCTCTTGGGGCTCTTCTGGGGCTATCTTGGGGCCCTCTTTGGGCCCTTTGGGTTGGCCTGAAAGGTCTCTTGGGGCCGCCTGGGTTCCCGTGGCTCAAAAGGAGGGGGGTCCTCAATTCAGACCCCCCCCTCGGAGGCTCACACATTGCCTTTTGGGGCCTTCTTGGGGCGCTCTTGGGGTGCTCTTGGGCGCTCTTGGGGCCCTCTTGGGGCCCTCTTGGGCCCCTCTTGGGGCTCTCTTGGGCCGTCTTGGGGCCTTCTTGAGGCCTCGGAGGCCCATCTCAAGCGATAAGGCGAGAACGCGCAAATCATTTATTATCCTTCCGTTTTGGAGTCATTTTGGCCTCTTGGGGGGGGTCCTTGGAGGGCTCGGAGGGCACTTGAAACCAGCTTGGGGCTGTCTGGGGCGTTTTCGATGTATGGGAGGCTATATTGAGCCATCTTTAGCTATCTTGAGCCATCTTGGATGCCATCTTTGGCTCTCTGAGGCCCTCTTGGAGCAATCGTGGGCCATCTTGGGCGCTCATGCCTCGCGCCCCCCCCTCCCAGGCCCAGGGGAGGGAGAAGGGGGAGGGGTCAAGCTACACACCCGCCCGCAAGCCGTCTAGTTCACTCCCACCCGCCCAACCAACACAGAAGTAACACCCGAGCCTGAGCATGTTCAGCGGTCGTCTTTGGATGGACAGCTACTGGGAGCCAAAGCCGACCCAGGTGCGCGACGCTTGGGCGAGGTGCGCCACGCGTGCCAGGGGCGCCACGCGCGCCAGGCATCCCTCCGGCCCGAACGTGCCAGGCACGCCTGGTGCGCCAGATGCGCCACGTGATCCGAGTGCGCCAGGTGTGTCCAGACACCCCCTAGATAGCAAGTCGTCTAGATTACTCCAACCCGCCCTCCCAACACATGAGTAGCACCCGAACCTGAGCATGTTCGGCGGCCGTCTTTGGATGGACAACTACTGGAAACCAACACCGACCCCATGTGCGCGACGCTTGGGCGAGGTGCGCCACGCGTGCCACGCGTGCCAGGCGCGCCACGTGCGCCAGGCACCCCTGGGGCCCGAGCGTGCCAGGCACGCCTGATGCGCCAGATACGCCACGTGCTCCGCGTGCGCCAGGTGTGCTGCATACTCCAGCCGCACCATTTGCGACACGTTCGGGGCACGTGCAGAGTGTGTCAGGTGCGCCTGCGCACGCGATAGCACACATCGGGAAACGTGTCGGCCCCCACCATCCTTGTCGAAAACCGATGCCCATCATTGTGTCTGGTGTGTCTGCGCACAGCAGGCCATACGCCACCACCCCCGCCGTCCCTGTCAAAAACCACTTGACAGTGATCTCGGGGTGGCCGCACATCATCCAGATTTCGCCGCGAGGTGCATTCTGTGCCGTTTTTTAAGAGTGATGGTATCCGTGCGAATGCAGGCTATATGCTGACGCCCCCGCCGTCCCCGAAGGAACAATACAAAGTGCTCGCGGGCCTCACGAACATGACTGAAGACTT